TTGAATAGCTATAGGAGAAACATTTGATGATACAAATTTCTACAGGATGCAAAAGCAGTGATCAGATGAAGTTACATGAAATGTATACATGTAATTTTGAAAAGGTACAGAAGAAATTAGTGCACCAACTAAACAAAAGAAGCCTTTCAATAAAAGATGCCTCTTGGTGTAAATTGAAATGAGTTGAATAATTAATGTGTTTTCACTGATTATCTGGAGATTGACTCTCCAGTAAAATGCCACAAGAATCTAACAGAGCAAGAACATGCGGGTGCCAAGACATTTTTCTACTCTCCAAAACCACTTAAATATTTATACTTAAATGCTCACTAAATCTGGGCTAAGATATTTTACTTCTCTTAGGATCAAGCTCAGTGGAAGTAATAGTTTCAAATGTTAAGTTCCCTCAGAAGAAAGCCAGACCTCAATAAACTACAACCAAACTAATTCTGACATTCCATAAATTCTCCTGAAATGTTAAGTCTGAAGAGAGCTAATGATATCTCTTTGAAAATATGTAGGAAGGCGAAAGCAAATTCTACTTTTTAAACTACTGTATATTTTTTCAGTATTTTTAGAGCTTTTTGCAGCTATATATGAAAACATCTAAAGCGACACTAAACCAGAAGGAAGATAGGACTAATCTATCTCTATCCCATTCCCAGTGTGTCCCTAGATGCTTTTATGGCTCCCCTAGTTTGCAAGTTAGTGTACTGCAGTGAACAAACCAAAAACAACGGCTAAATGAGGGTATTAAGAATGGAAAAGAATGAGTCTTTGCACTGAACAGTTAGATTTTAATGTAACTTTCAAAGAAACAGATACAGTCACTTTCAAATTGTCCTCTCCCAGGCTGCATTTTGACTATGTAAGTACACTGCACAGTGTTATTACTGGTTAAAAGGGATAGAAAATTTCTAACAGGATATTGAAATAGAAAGTTTCTAACAAAAGTAAACTCTAGCATTCCCAAGCACTACTTAAAAAAAAAAAAGAAAAAAAAGAAAAGCAGTGCTCTGCTTTTTTGACTTGGAAGAAATATGGAAAAAAAGTGCAGCGAAGTCTAGAAAAAGAATGTCCTGAGAAGTGGGATTGACAATGAGCTTTTGACTGACTGCCCAGAGCTGTGACTCTGTCTTTCCTGTTGCCTAGCAACTCCATGTTATCACAAAGAAACTGATATTAAGTTGGAACAGGCTGGATATGGTAATTTACGTGGGAAGATACTCTTGCAGTGGGAAAACCATTTTATTTCTAGTTTCTGTCAGCGTAAGTAGGTTTCACATGATGAACTGTAGTACATCCCCTGTTGGGTGCATTTTACCTAAAAAGGTAAAGAGTGACTCTGCCTTGGAAAGAGGCTGTGCAGAAAGAAAAAAAAAAGAAAACGAACAAAACTCCCACCTTGGTATTCATTAGACCTGCCCATAGTGTCTACTCAGATGTTTCTTCTAGTGGTACTGGCAAAAACTTGTTTTCATATCTGTGTGGACTCAGTGCAGATTAGAGAGTTGGAACTCAGACATGATAATTTATATTATCATATTCCTTAAGAACTCTTGAGATTTGCCTGAGACCTCACTGTCTTACATAAACATTAAAAGATGGTACTCACCTTATCTGAATAGTCCCTGTTCTTTCTTTTGCATTGTTAATAGTTAAGTGCCAAATTTCAGTTGCACTTGATTTCTTCTTTGTTTAAAGAAGATACTGCACTTGCAGCAGCTGCAGAACAATTTGAAGCCTGTGACAGAAACTGTCATTCAACTTTGAACCTGGCTGGTATTGTATGGCTGGGAAAGGTCAGTTTTTATTGAGTTTTATGGAGAGAATGACAAGAGTATGTATGTAAATCAAGTATTTTTGTGAAAGGTTTGAGCCACAAGAGATATGTAATCCATAATAGTGTTTTTATGTTTGGGATTAGGTCTAAGATTCAATTAGAAAAAGAGAATGCACAGAAGACTCAGGATTTAATGCAAAGCCCGTTTTCTGAAATGTCTAGTTTACTCATAGATCTCCTGAACCACTGTCTCTGCATTTCTATCCTGCATAATTTCTAGTAATTTAACACCATAGTGCAGTCCTACAAGTAAGAAAGTACTTCACACGTCTTAAGGACTCCCTGTTCTGGCTTTGGTCAGCAAAACACTTCCTGTCTCCAGGTTTCTCTCTACTGCAGAGTTAACTTGAAATATAACTCAGCTTTTGCCTTTGGCTCAAATCCCAACCATACACAGAAACTTCTGACTTGAGTATGTGGATGCTGTTCAGCAGAAGGGACTGGCCTGGACTGTCAGAAGGCACAGGCAGCAGCTTCAATTAGCATAGCTAATACAGCTACCAGCTGCTGCTTCAAGGATTTGTCTTCATTGCCAAAAAAGGTGTATTTTTACTGTGGAATAATTAGCCTGATTTAACTCGCCTTATTTAAAATCAAGCCCTCCATCTCTTTTCTTACAGTGAAGGCATTGCTTCCCTATTAACTCAGAGTGTCCTCTTTTGCTGAGACTAAGCTAACTGAAGAGGAATGAGCTCTGCAATGAAAAGAGCCCACAATGTCCTAGGCATCAAATAGACCCAGAGACTGCAAGCAAAGTCCTTTTCTGCACAAAGTCACGGTGGGGAGGTAGCTTCCTTGCTTGCATTTCATTTGGCTAGCACAGAATGTATCAGCTTGCATCCTATCTACCAAACTAATGAGTTTGTCTCCTTTTTAATTTCCCACATCACCTTCAATAAATCAAAAAATTCTCTGGGCTGTTATCTGACTTGAAGGAGAGTAATTGTACTGACTCCAGCAGCAAGCCTGGCTTAATTAAAACATATTGTATTTCCCAATAAGGTAGTGGCTAATTTTATTCTGAGTGCAACCTGAAACAACTTTACAACAGAATGGAACAGATGAACCTTTCTTTACCTTGAAGCTTTCAGTACTTTTAAACCGAGTTCTCCTGCTTCATCACAAAGAGCTTCCTTCCTAAACACCCTTACCACTAAGCAGTTCGTGACTAACTTTACCCACTGTAACTGTTGTCTTCTAAGCTAACTGCTGTCAAATACCACCTGTTTCTGAAGCCCTGGCATTAGGGTAACACAGAGATTGCAGGCAGTCTCCCACACCTTCTGTTCATTGTGTTTGCTCATGCTTGGTGTCAAGTAGCAGCATCCTCTGGCTTGTGGACCATGCCAAACTAAGGGCAGTAAAACTGCAGCACCTCCTTTGTGTGACAAAAAAAATATTTTCCATCATTTAGTTTTTTTGTTAGTTTGTTCTTTTTCTTATTTGTTTGGGGTTTTTTTTTGGTTTTTTTTTTAGATTGAAGATGTTCTTCAAAGAATTTGATCACTATGACTTTTATTAAGTAAACCCACAAAAACTGCACCTATATTTTCTGTATGCAATGTTTCTCAGTGGTGAGAAAAAAATTGCTGATTGTTTTTTTAATGCTTGTATTCTGATGAACACAGAACAAATAAGGGGACAAATATGAGATAGGCCAGGAGTAGTTAGGAGTATGTAGCCAGCACATTTTGGGTGTGCACTGACCAAGGGAGTGGTACACTGAGCATGGGAGGGAACAGTGGTCTGGGAAGAGATGCTGTGGGCAAAGGATCCTGCCCATTGTGGCCAAATGAAGCTCTGCAAGAGTATTGCTGGAAGCCAGGAGGAGTTATCAAGACTGGGGAAATGCTGAAAGCCACCATTCCCATCTTTCCCACTATGCCCATTAGCACCTGCAATTAGTTTTATGTAAGTCAGTCTCAAAGAGTGTATAAAAGTGGGTAGGAGTAAACAGAGACATTTAAACATCAATTTGTTGCCAGCACAACCCAAGTGTCCCATATAAGACTAGATGACTCAGTGGGTGAGATACACACCTTACCACTTCCAAGATTTTTATTTCATATCTGACTCAGGTTTGTAATGACAGTAGGACTGAATTTGACCAAAAATTAAAGCAGATTCAGAAGTAGCATTATGGACTCATATTAATGCTATGAAGCTAACTCTCTCAAGTCTTTTCAGTTGTTATGGCTGCTTGTTGATTTGCAAAGATTGGTACAGAAGTGACCTAGAAATCAAATTAAAATAAGAAACAGAAAGAGCAACTCAGCCTTATTTTTGTTCGTGGTAGTGTTATTAGCACTGAAAATACAGTTGGTCTCTTTTGTTCCAGTAACAATCCTAGCATGAGGAATTACAGGATGTATGTGTGTTTCCTTCATGATACAGAAGAACCACAGAAGCTGTAGGTGAATAAATGAACCTGTTGAGCCATGGGACAAAAGTGATCTTTTGTGCCTAGAATGCAAAATTACTTTACCGGCTAGAGAGCCAACAGATAAGGGATTGGGAAAGCAGTAAATTTGAATTTTAGGTACTAAACCACCAGTAAATCAAAAGGCAACAAAGTATTAAAATCTTCTAAATGTTATAAAAAAATCCACAACAAAAAAATCAGCAGAAACCTTTGCCCCTCCAGTAACATGGAGTATGACTCATGGTTTTATGAATTTTGATGGGTGGTGGTACAAAAACTGTTCTATCTGCTACTGATAGATGGTAGGTTTCTTAGTTTTAAAAATATGAAAACAGCTTGATCTCGTGTACCTTGGTTTAAAAATAAAGGTCTTTTTATAGCATGTCTCAATTTTGACAACCATACCGTGCTGTAAATATTGGACATTTTAAAAGCCTAAACCAGACTCTTATTTTAGGGGTAGGCTGATCCTATGAGTTTGTGAATTCCTCAGGAAGAGGAGTCACAGCTGAACATAATGGCTTTTTGTGTTTAACTCCAAAGTTTGAGTTGTTTGTGGGTTCAGCTTTGAATTTAAAAATACATTTCCTTGTTTGGTAGCTTTCTTAAATTTAATTTAAAGAATGTGTAAATGCTAAATTATCCATCTCTTTATGATGATAAGCCTAGAATAAATCTGCAGGACTGAAATGCAAATGAATCTATAAGTAAAATGATTTCTTCTTCATGTTGCAGAGCACAGATAACTCAAATATATCTATAATCGCTCAGAACAAAAAGTGCTTTGACAATGATATTGTTTGCTCGAAGACTGTTTACATCACTGTTGGAGACACTGAGATTTATTTTAGTGAACCTTCTGAGAAGCAGGTTAGTTATTTTCTTTCCTTTTTGGGCTGCCCTTTAAGATAAGCATTGTAAATTTGCAGCTCTAAAGTAGCATGTTTTTGGAAAGCGTCTCTCAGTCTGAGTTAATGTAGCACTAGTGCCTAGGCCTGGATAAAGCAGCAGGTCCCAGGACAGATCTTTTTCTCCATTCTTTTTTTCGAGTTCTATTCGTCCTACAAATGCTCAAAAGACTCAAGGAGTTGAAACATATTGGCATTTATGAGTTTCTTTCCACTTGGTTTTGAAAGGGAAACCAAAGTACAAAATCAAAGCAAACCTGAATGATTGAAAAGACAAAATACCATATTATTAAAAACATTTCTAGTAATATTATTGATTCAGCTGTATGTTAAAGTATTCTTCAATATACACTTTGTTATTAACTGGCTGTATACTTTGGTAGAATTGCTTTATTAGATCTTAATAAATATTCATTTCTGTCAGAATACCTTAAGGGGACAGGAAAACAAATCTAACTATCAGCTTTGGAAGGCTGGATATTACACTGTGATACACTTTCCAGAACAGGACATTACAATTCTGTGGGATAAGAAGACAATGATGCATGTTAAAGTTGGACCTCGATGGAAGGTGAGACAAAATAAAAACCTGAGATTTTGTGTAGCTTCTCTGTATTGCTGGTGTGATCTTTTATTGAATAAGTGTGATTGTCTTTTCTTCAAGACTAATGATGATATAGCAGTTTATCATGCTGTTCAGCTGCTAGCATTTGCTAGGTTAGAAGAGATAGAGAATGTGGTTTAATGGTCGTACTTACGGAGAGAAGGAATGGTTCCTACATGCAGGTTTGCGCTGTTGCTCCACACATTACAGCCTTGCAGATATGTAATGATTCAGCTCTGACCCAAAGATACCTTGGGGCCTGGAAGAGAGGGTTAGTTTTGAGTTACACAGTTCACTGCATGTTTCCATAATTGCGGAAGCCAATGGAGAAGAAGCTTCCGTGTCTAGTGATGGCTGATTTGTAGCACAGATTGAATTAGACTGATGATGAAACTACACCCTGAGATGTAATAGAGGCTTCTGAGATGAACAGATGGAATCATATCTTGGGTTTAATTCAAGAAGACAAGATACAGGAAAGGATCTAGACAAAAGCTGGCATTTAAACCCAATGAGTATATTGTGACACGGTCTAGCCATGATGTATGGAAGAATACCAGGCTCCTTCTCATGCCAGTTGCTCTTCTCTGTTCCACTCCTGCATCATCATCTACCTTGGTGCCTCTGCAACTTGGTCTTTGGGTCCATATAGAACAACCTTATCTGTGCATTTCATACTTACATTTCTGCTTCATTTCAAACATGAATACATGTATTAAGATGGGGCTCTTTGAGTAAAAGAAAGCAAGCACACTCTGCTAGAATACAATATCAGATTTTTTAAAAGTGTAAGTCAAAGTTACAATGGCTATCTAATGTGGTTTTAACGCAGAATTATTATAGGAATTTGTCCAAAAAAGCTATAAATTGCTTACTTCAAATACAGGCTGATTTAGCCAGGTTGGATGAGGCCTTGAGCAACCTGGTCTGGTGGGGAGGTGTCCCTGCCCTGGGCATGAGGGGTTTGGACTAGATGATCTATAAGGTCCATTCCAACCCCTAAAATTCTATGATTCTGTTGGCCATTGATACACATAGTGAAAAAAATTATTCTGTTTTCAAGTAAGCTAGCATGGAGCTGAGTTCTACAGGTTGTATGC